ACCAGTGGATCAAAAGTTATTCACAGTTAAATATTATTGGAATTTTTAATAGTAAATTCCAAAAATCCGCCGATATGAATAACAAATTTTTTATAATCATAAAGAATACTAGTTATATTGTAAGATATAATTAGAAGCGAAAACTGTCTTTTTTCATAAAGCTTATAGATTATCCTTAAAAAATTAACAGTAACGGCCTCTTAAATCTTAATATGTAATATGAATGGACAAATGATTTGTACGTCCCACAGAGCACTTTAAAATAAAAAAATATATATTTACGAAAATTGAGTCTAATCTAACTGATTACCCCATTCTTTAACTGATAATTGACATAATGGTGATGACCAATAGTCTACCTGCTATTGATTGTTCCACCCAACTATAGTTGTCAATACCCTTTAATTTTTGGGATAGTTTAAAAATCCGTTCATATGAAGCAATTTTTGACAAAACGAACGTTTGTTTTGAATTTTCCTGATCATTTTACGTTGGGGGTGTTCGGTATCTATGTAGATAGCCTCATATAAAAATAGATAAATTTATTAAAAAATTTTAAAATTAATAATAAAAAAACAATTTAATATGTAGATGTTTGAAATTTGATAATCGTTTCATATAAGATTTTTAAACTTCAAATTGTATGTCCCCATATTACCTGGTTTAAAAAATTTGTTCGGTTCTATATTTTACCGATATATATATTTTATTAACAGTCACACGATTTGTCATGTAGATTTTATACTGTATATATATATAAAGAAATATAATCAAGAAATGAAAAGAGTAACATGAAGTTGATCTTTGATTTTAGCCAACCAAAATTAGCCATCCGGTCAACTTGTTTAAATTCACAAAACATTTACTATAAGAATACACCGTCTTCTGATATACAAATTTTATTCCCGTCATCTTTCATTTGTATCCCAAGGCAGTTTAAACACTCGTTCTATATCACTAACATAAGCCAGGTCTAATTTCAAAAAATTTTATAAAATGGGGTTTTTTTTCTAATCATTACCTTTCAAATAGCATGACACTTAATTTATCCTTTAAACTAAAAATTTATTTAGTAAACGAAATATTAACCCAGAAGTCACCGGGTAAATTTAAATTGTTCAAATATAAATTTGTTAAATTTTCTTGGTTGTCGCGATGTGGTCCTGCAACTGGTGAAGAAACCTAAATCATCCTCCATTCTGTAGTGTGAGGTTGAATAGTAAAATATAGTTAGGTCTGTAATGTTAATAAATACCATGACAAATATTATTTAATTGTGTTCGTTGATTTATAATGAAATTCATACTCACGAGCTGGTAATTTAATTTATAAGTAAATCGTTACAAAGCAATGATTTTTGTTTAAAAAACTAAAATAAAATAAAAATAAAATAAATGCAACAAAAGATTATATTTACATGTAGGGAGTTTCATCATTATTTTCTCTTGTAGGATGAGTGGCATCATCTTAACAAATAAACATTAGTTTCAATAAAATCGTGTTGGTATTAACAACAGAAAAGTAAACAATTGTAATATGAGTGTTACTAAGGAAAAACATATGAGTACAAATTTAAATACTGTATTCACCATACTGATAAATATTCTAAGAGTTTCGATAATATTTTTGAATGCACGTACGCATGTACATACGAATGTACGTGCGTACTTGCTGATTAAAATTACTACAATTTTTCAGAAGCCCAGTACAGTGAAATTAAATTTGGATTTACAGGTTTTCCCTTGATATCAATCATATACTGTTGTGAGAACGAAATTGTTTGAATTTAGAGTTTCTTATTAATCTTATATATACGTATATATATATATATATATATTCACAACCAAATTCTATTATATTCTAGTTTAATAAATTTCATTCTCACTTATAGTATATACTAACGTTGTTCTCCAGGATGATCTTCAGGTGTATTAACCGGAGAAACAGAATTTGTATCATGCGAAGAAATATTTGATTGCGGCATTTGTTGATTATTGATATTATTTGTAATGAATTCAACAGGTTCAGCCGATAAGTTCTCGAGTTCAATCAAAATTTCGTCTAATGCTGGGCGCAAATTTGGTTCAGAAGACCAGCACTTCTTATAAAGAGTAGCGTAATGTGATGGGTGTTTTCGATAGTTTTCTCCCTTTTGTTATGCGAAATATTATTGATAATGGCCAAATCGTTGGAACCATTGAATGGAGGAACACCACTTGTAAGTTCCCAAAATAATACGCCTAAGCTATAAATATCTGATTTTTTGTCGCGCACGGCATTCATTACCCAATTGGATATAATATTGTGGTTCGATATAGGCGGATATGCCTCCTGACTTAGAACTAGAAATCGTAGTACCGTTTAATTTTTTGGATATTCCAAAGTCTGTAATCAAGGCTCTACCATTATTTATCAAAATATTCTTTGGATGCTAAAAAAAAAACTATAAATTAGTGAATCACTAATTAAAACTTAATCAAGAATTAAAATATCTTTTAACTTACTAAATCCCGATGAATAATTTCGTTTTTATGTAAATGTTGCAATCCCTGAGTGATACCCTTTGCGATTTCGATGAGTTCAGCCCAGGAAATTTTATAAATACTGTCTTGTTGTTTGTCTCGTAAGTAATCACGTAGATTGCCGTCAGTGGCAAGCTGCAACACTAGCATGAAATTTTTTGGTTCTGACGTTTATTATATTATGTTAAAAGATAGTTATTTTTTATCGCTTTGCAAAATTTTGTAGCTTATCAGTTATTTTAACACTGAAGTTTACAATGATTCTTGATTTCCAATTTCTAAAAACCACTCCGATATGAAATTTCATATTTATAAAACGGACTTATGGTGGTTTGCACCTATAAGGTTTTATTATATTTTTGTATTTAGATTTAAGATTTATGTTTAGGAAGGATTTTTGTGGCGTAGAGTATTTTTATTTAGAACAACTTGCACTGATCAGTTTTTGAGATATATGTAAAACATAGGTGCATTTTACTAAGAGTGCGAAATTTTATCGGAACATTTTTAGGAAATCGGTAATCGGGAAACCTCTCGGTGTTAAAATTTTGCAAATAATAAATCATACCCATTGAAACTCCGCAAAATTTTATAATATTTGGATGATGTTTGACAGTATAAAGAAGTTTAAGCTATATATTATTTAGTACTTTGAATATTAAGATTTAACTATGAATCATGAATATTACCTCATGCTTGAATTGTTTAAATTTTTTATAATCAAAATCCAGGTTATTATTTAAACTTTTTAATGCGTACGTTTCTTCTTCAAAACCGACAGAATACACAACAGCATATCCTCCATGTCCAATGCGATTAAGATTTTTAAATTTAGAATAGTCAAAAATCTTTATATTTTTTTTTTGGACATATTCTACTAATTCTTCCGAATAATCACTTACTAATATATAAAAAGCTTATAGCATTAATATATCATGTAAATTAAGAATTAAAGTTTTAATAACAATAGTAACTCACATGCTTTCTTTTGCATGGTTTATAGATATAAATGGTTCTTTTTTTGGTATTCAGAGTAATTTATATGTATGATATTTTTCTAGGCTTGAAAAGCGGATTTCATAAATCACATGGAGATTAAGGACAACAAGCAATATTTTGTATAAAAAGGCAACCACATCTAATATTGAACTTGAGTGTTTTTAAAGTTTCGAAATTTTGATGCTATATATAAAAATGCTACTTTTATAAAATTCCGTAGTCGGAGTTTTATATAAAATTTTAATAGGCAGATACGCTATACTAAATAAAGCAACCAATCAATGTAAGACAAGTTCGCAATAATCACAAATTTTACTAATCTGATTGGTACAAAATTTGAAGATCACTTTCGAGAATATCACCAAAATCACAAAATCCGTCCATATGATTTACTATAAA